ACACAACTCGGTCAGAAACAACTCACTCTTTAAATAAGCGCTCTGCTTTTTCCTGAATCCAGCCGAAGCTTCCTGTACTCTTCCTGCCAAGGAAATCTGGATATTCTTCGCCATGGTTTCCTCTCCCTTGCTTATCCCTCCATGATTCCTATTCTCTTTCACGATTTGTTCTATTCTCTTTATGGCATTCTGGCAATCATGGAAGCCTTTGGTAATATCCTGAGTCAACCTCTCGATTTCGCCTTCTTCGCTCCTCTTCACGTCCTCGTCATCGAATCCTGGCAAAACATGCTTCTGATGTAGCTTCTCTAGCTTTACGCTTTTCTGTGCTATATCTGCAAGATACTCTGTAACTTCATCCGATATATCCGCCCATCTAGGTGGTAATAGGTCCATCTCAATGATTACATCTCCATCATCCTCGAACGCACCGGCGGACATAAGCCCCCGGCGCTCCTCTGATTGAGATCCGATTGCTTCGGAATAGCCATTGCCCGATGCTGAGGAGAATTTGGGTTTCTTTGCCGGATGGTGAGCGTAGGATTGGCGATATGATATATAGCTGTAGCTATTAGTAATCTAAAGGCTAGATTGTCCAGTAGAACCTACAGATTAGTGCGATCGCGCCACATGGCGGCCGCTGAGCTAGGTATGGATCAACTAAGCTGTAAAATGCTATTACTTGAACGATCAGGGGGTGTTCAAGCGGTCAAATATGGTAGATATGGTTGTAGCAGCTCCAAGGTGTTGTTCTACATACGCATGTGTCCTCAGCCTACAAGGATTCCCTGGGGATTAGCGTCACTTCCATTCCTTGGCAGGGCTGCTTGGCCACCAGATACCACAGAAGTACGCAACTTCTTTGCCCGCATCAACAAAGCATACAGGACGCACATACACCAAATCCTCTCCAAAGACGATAGAGTATCTTTCGCACATACAGCTTAGTGATTCGCATATTTGCAAGATCACAGCAACATGGTATGAAGCCACGAATCTAGATCTCAGGAGGCTTGACCCCGCGGTGCTCTATCTTCGGCAGGAGTCATGCCTCGAACTATGAGGTCAAGGAGAAAACATATGAACTATAGCTAATGTATTGGATGGCAGGCTGACTCTCTTACTGAAGAGCAAGTCTCCGAGTTCAAGGAGGCTTTCTCCCTCTTCGTAAGTTCACCGTCTTATCCTATTTTCAGCCTCATTTGAGCTGGCTGGCTTGTTTACGAAGTTGCTAGCTAACATGATTTCGTTGTCCAGGACAAGGATGGTGATGGTTAGTAAACCCCATAAAGCTGGAAATCTTCTACAAACGCTGTCCTCGCTCTCGAAATGCAGCTTCGCATTCCCACAGTGATTGCGCATTAGCAAGACTCATCTAAGCGACGACTGCTTCTAACAACGAGACAAAATAAATCGCGTATGTCAGGGCTATGCTGATGGATTGGTATTCAGGACAAATTACCACCAAAGAGCTAGGCACTGTTATGCGCTCGCTGGGCCAAAACCCATCTGAATCTGAGCTGCAAGACATGATCAATGAAGTCGATGCTGACAACAATGGCACTATTGATTTCCCAGGTAAGAGATAAGGCCAAGATTGCTGGTGGGCATGTGTGTTAATGATATGTCAGAATTCCTCACAATGATGGCAAGAAAGATGAAGGACACAGACTCTGAGGAAGAGATCAGAGAAGCATTCAAGGTACGAGCATAATAATACTGATTCCTAAAGCCGAACTTAGGATCAATGTAGGTCTTCGATCGTGACAACAATGGTTTCATCTCCGCAGCTGAGCTCCGCCATGTCATGACATCTATTGGTGAGAAGTTGACCGACGATGAAGTTGATGAGATGATCAGAGAGGCCGATCAAGATGGTGATGGACGAATTGACTGTAAGAGACTTTATTCCTTTCAATTGAAGCTGCATACTAACATAAACCTTAGACAACGAATTTGTTCAGCTCATGATGCAGAAGTAGAAGCTCGCATGATAGTTTCTTAGGCAACGGGAATGATTTTTGAGGATTGCAAAGGAGTACGCATCAGTGAAGGAAGGGCAGCTGGACTCGTGATGACTTCCGTGGTAGATCGTTGGTTTGACTCTGATAACGTGAAATGATTGCTGTCAAAATAAATGCAAAATTCCTCGTCAGTTCACTTTGTTTTGTTGTTATGTTCCCTATTATAAAACTCTTCGCGTTGGACTATTTTGACTGGATTGACTTGGGTGACCGTCGTATAGCTAGCTCTACTATGTACTGTGCTCCCACACATATGTGCATGTCTGTGTCCCCACCCTGAAAACATCCCTCTCACAGTGGCGAGACCCATTTTGGCAGCCGTGTCTTTTTAGCCTTGCTTGGCTCTCAGCCTTGACACTCCTGATTATATTTCCAGGACCACTATTCACCAAACATATACGCAATTGATTGTTGATTGCAAGTTCATTCATTTAATTATTTCACCTGCATTTGCTCTCTGAACCATAGCTTGCATGCACAATCACCCCTCTTTGATAGTTGTTCGATGCCACCTAGCCGAAACTCTCTCCGTTCAACAAAACATGTGAAACGACACGTCTTCGTTCATAGCAAACACCATATTACATCTCTACGATGCCTGCGGTTCGAAGATGGCGTATTGCCGCCTTGAGCGTCACATTCGTGATAGTATCTCTTTACTACCTCACGAATAAACAATATACCTGGAACTATGGCTATTCAAGCTACATCCCAGCGCCACCCAGGCCAGTTGTACAAGATGGGAAGGTACATTGGTTCAAACTACCTGAAAGGTACCCTGTGACTAGCTATATACCTCTGCCAACAGGCCGACCAAAAAGCATTCCAGCAGTTCAGACACGGCAGCCCAAAGAAGATGCCACGCAGAAGCAAGAGAGACAGAAGCGTGCAGACACTGTGAAGGAGAGCTTTGTACATAGTTGGAATGGATACAAAAAATATGCGTGGCTGCGCGATGAAGTTGCCCCCGAATCTGGCAAATGGAAAGATACATTTGGTGGCTGGGCCGCCACTTTGGTCGATTCTTTGGATACCCTGTGGATTATGGGCATGAAAGAAGACTTCGAGCTTGCTGTGCGAGCTTGTGAGCAGATTGACTTCACCACCACAGAATCAAAAGACATAAATGTGTTTGAGACCACGATACGCTATCTAGGGGGTTTTTTGGCTGCATACGACATCAGCGGCGGCAAATATCCCTTGCTATTGGTGAAGGCAGTCGAAGTCGGCGAGCTCTTGATGAGCGTCTTTGATACTCCCAACAGAATGCCAATCTCAAGATGGGACTGGCAAAATTATGTAGAAGGCAATAAGCAGACAGCGCCGGAAAGGATGCTTGTCTCAGAGCTTGGATCTATGAGTTTAGAGTTTACAAGGTTATCACAACTGACTGGAGAGCCGAAATACTACGATGCTGTACAACGAATAGCGGATGCTTTGGAGAAAGGTCAAAATACCACGAAGCTTCCTGGCATGTGGCCAATAAGCATCGATGCTTCCAAGCCATCTTTCGAAGACGATGTGATCTTCACGCTCGGAGGCATGTCGGATTCGTTGTATGAATACTTCCCGAAGCAATATCTGATCCTTGGTGGAGTTTTGGCACAGCCAAAAAATCTCTATGAGCAATTCATTGAGGTTGCCAAAACGCACATGTTTAAGCGATTCTATAATACAAAGGATGAGCCTCTTCTAGTGTCAGGCGATGTAAGGGTGCAAGGAGCAGCCTCTAACTCTGAGATCAAATTCGAAGCAAAAAACCAGCATCTAACTTGTTTCACCGGCGGTATGGTGGGCCTGGGATCTCGAATCTTTAATCGTCCGGATGAACTCAGTGTTGCTGAAGAGCTTACCGCTGGTTGCGTATGGGCCTATGATACATCTGCCAATGGTATTGCTCCAGAGATCTTTACGGTCTTGCCATGTCCAAAGAATTATGATTGTAAATGGGACGAGAAAGTTTGGCACAAAGCGTTGTTGGACGCTCATCCCACTACTGCTACGACCGACGCTGAGAGAGAGGCACATGTGAAAAATGCCATCTCTAGCCTTCGCCTCCCACCTGGATTCATGGCCCTCAACGACAAGCGCTATGTTTTACGCCCTGAGGCTAGTAAGTGGATTCCTAGATGATTTATCCTTTAGATGAGTACTAATATTCAATCAGTCGAGTCAGTGTTTCTCATGTATCGCATTACAGGTGATAAGAAATGGCAGGATGCCGCATGGCGGATGTTCCAAGCCATTGAGAAAGTCACCAGGACAAGGATTGGTGCAAGTGCCCTGTGGGATATCACGGTTGACCCGAAAGAGGGTTTGCCACAGAAGATGGACAGCATGGAGAGCTTCTGGGTACGTTATATTTTCTTGCACGTTCACTATTCTCCCTGCTAGGTGTTCGCAGCCTAGGAATTGTCTCGGGAGCTTCTTTGTCCTGAACTTCGACCACAAGACAAAGCCCTTGGACTCTCGCTGGACATTTAACTGACCATAATGCTAATTTTTTTAAATAGTTGGCGGAGACCTTAAAATATTTCTATCTTTGCTTCGCAGATTTTGATGTAGTTAGTCTAGACGATTACGTCTTGAATACGGAAGCACATCCATTGAAAAGGCCGGGAAGGTAATTAAGAATAGTCAATATAATGTTTTTCTGATTGTGTGTTACCTCAATTTGTAAATGATGACGCTGGGCGAGAATTATACTTGTTGTCACGTCTCTCTACTCTCTTCTTCCGCACATAATAGTGATACCAGAATTGATTTACGGCTATGGTATCCTTAATTAAACGTATCTGAGACTAAATGCTCGATACTAAGAAATTCCCCTTAGACTTTGTAGTTATGCTCACATAATCACGACCACCTCGCTTGCCTCGTTCTTTTCCATCTTATCAAGGATCAAACTGTGGGTGTGCTTTCGCTATGAGCATGTATCATATATATATGTAAGCAAAGCCCAATCACAAATTACCAGTCGAGTTGCCAGAGTGGTTAATGGGTTAGACTTGAATTGTTCCAAGAGAGCAACTTCTAGATATCTAATGGTTTCGGCCGCGTAGGTTCAAATCCTGCACTCGACGTTATTTTTGGCCTTTTCCTTTTTCCTCCGTTAATCAATTGTTTTCGTCTTACAACGTCCCAGTGATTCATACTTTTTTTGGTCGGGGTGAGGCGGTCAAGAAACTTGGCAGTTTCCGACTTTTGCAAGGATTGGCACCATAATTTAAGCGAGATGCCCCTGAGTGATACTGTGGTTCAGGATTATGAAGTACAATTTTTGGGGATCTAAGATCAGATATAATAAGATTACATCAAACAATTGGATCTAAGCCTTTTGACCTCCTGAACCAAGTTTCAAATTTAGCCAAATAAATCGTTACCTTTCTATTAAAATTATTCAGAGCGTTTACAACCATCAGAGCCTTTGCCGCTTATCTATTTGTCCCTTGAGTTGGGACTAGATAAATGCATATGTGGACTTCGCATTGTTTTTTGTAATGTATCAGTTGGATTTGTACGTACAATAAAAAGTGCAAAAGAACGGTTGGTCTCTACTGCAACTTCAAGTTTGGCGCAGCTTCAAAATTATTGGTAGGTCTTGAATTTTGATTTTGTCTGAAGGTGAATTCTGAAGTGGATTTTGGCGGCTACTATTATGCTTTATATATATATATCATGTGACTTGTTTCTGTCAATTCCATTTTTGTTCCGACTGAAATCTCATGCCCACACTAGTCTCCTAAGCAGAAGACTATAAATATCCAAATGCTTTTGTTGAACTATGAACTTCCACTACTCACCAATTTCAACATTTCTCAGCCACTTCTTTCTTCCTTAGATCAATTTATCAAGATGCCTGCCAAATTAATTATCAAGAAGAATATCACCATTGATACCATGGACATATCGCCAAAGAAGGTTCTGCAACTACAGAAGCGTATCATAAAGTTGAAAATCCCAGAGTCCTACCGCAACAACCGTCGTGCGCGCAACAAGCCAGCAGCTGATATGTCCCAAAAGGATGTTCTCGATGTAAATTACTCATCTCCTCAACTCTGCCTAATATCAGCGCTTAACTAACCAAATTCATAGGCTCTCAGCAATCCAGGGTTGACTTGGGGCGACATATGGGACGACCCCGATCTCCGCGACATCTACGCACGCTTCCATTACCACGAGCCACGCCTTCGCAAGAACACATCTGATCCCTTTCAAGGCTGCCGCGGACTCTGGAAGGATGAGTCCCGGATCGTCGCCAACATCCTCACTCCGCCCGTCCCCATGGATACCGATGAGCGCCACGAGTGGGCCGACGGCGACGGTTGGAAGCTCGAGTACCACCTTTACTATGCCGTATTTTGCATTCTTCAGGATTGCGGTGAGTTTTAATCCTCAACGGCTCGCTAATGGCGGCTTCTAACTTGATTGAGCACAGACTATAAAGTCTTTGACAACGATTTTGGGGTTACCAAACAGAAGGTGCGCGTCGCTCTAGGTCTTCTGCTCTGGATTCGGAGAGGCTGTAGCGATGGCTCTTGCATGCAACGGTTCGAAGTGAAGGGTCCAAGATCTAGAAGTAGATTGTTAATCCCTGCGGAGATGCAAGCCGTTACGGAGCAAACAGTTGGGGACCGGGTCCATGCCTGGCTCAGCAAAATCGATGTATGAACGCATTTTGATTATTAGGCATTGCAGCGAGGCGTTCATTGGAATATCAAGGCATTGGTAGTAAAGGAGGCGATAAGGATATACGCAGAGGTCATGAAGGCGTAGATAATGTGTCTTTCAATCCAGTACATAATTCAAGGGTCTTCACATAGATTTCAAGTGTACAAATATATCTCCAGTATGTGATAAGTATCGACGATTGCGTTCCTAACATCACTAGGGATTGCATTGTCTTGGGGATTTGGTCTTTCTCTAACCTCACTACACAAAGTACCTTTACTTTCACAGTTTATAAAAGTACTGATATCTTCAGACACCGACCTGCTAGGAGGGCGGCTTGGTCACAATGGAAGTATTGTTCTGGCATTCACGGCTATCTATCTGTATACGGCCACGACCCTAGAGCTCTTATTAAAGACGAACCTCTGGATGCCGAGTTCGGACATGTCTGGAGAAATTGTCTTTCCGTGAGAAGCCTTTCCCTTTCTCTATTGAGCGCTTGCAGCCACTAACAGGGCAGTAGAACACTTTCGGCTCAGGTGAGAGTTCAGGATGTACGGAGTCTACATGTCGGGTGAGGTCTTTGTGATACCGAAATCCCTTGGTGCAGTACGTGCATTGGTGAGGACGTGTGTGAGACTTGCGGTGCACACTACTTGCTTGTCAGAGATCAATTCATATAGCAATGCTATTTCGAGTGTTGTATTCTAGCGGAAATGCTCTCTCTATCGAACTGGTAAAAGAGTTCTTCCACTCACTTCAGTTGATGGGGTAGTGGGAAATTGGCAGAACAGTCTCCACAGGGATAAATGCTTTGTGGGACATCTGACCCTTGTGGTGGTGCTTGATTTTGCTGGAAATCGGCCGGATAAGAATGTTGTGGTGGAGTGAAAGTCTGATGTTCATCGTATTCCTGGTTGACAGGAGGTTCTCTTGATGTTCGATGTTAGTAAGTAATACAGTATAGATATATGTAGTCTTTGAGACAAACATATCCAGGACAGATACTACGGCCAAGGCGGCTACTCACGGAGGGATTTGGGTGTATGAATATGAAGGACTATGAAAGCATAAGTTGAATTTAAAGATATCCTAAACTTTGTCTTCGGACTCACATGTGTGATGTGCTGAATTCGTCCTGGTATTCTTCTGCCTGAGCTGTTGCGTACGCGGCTCCAGGCTCTCCAGGCGGATTATAACGTAGATCCAACAAGCGAGGATCGATAAATCTTTCTTCGTGATTGTTAGTGAAACTTGCTTGGTTGTTGTCTACTATTGGCTTGCTCCGGCCCGGGTTGGATCTCCTCTACTTGTAAGGGCAGAGGAGGCCCGGGGAAGTCTATAGGAAGAAGTTCAGCAGGAGACTTGGAGGTATTCCAAGTCTGAAAAGGCAGTTAAAGAGTGTTTGGCTGAATATGCCCGCCGCGAGAAGAGGCGACGGGTTCTTGAGAAGAGAAATGAATAGAAGAAGGCTTCGATCTTAAATGCTTGATCTACTCTTGATGGTTGGCTAGGGGCAGTGAGCTTGATTGGCCAGGTAGCCGGTTGTAGGCCTCATCATGCACGACGCCCGAGATGGCTTCAATTAGAGAGACAGGATCTGCACAGCAGTTCAGACATCCTTGAACAATGCACACCGAGGCCCATTGTGGTGATATGCCTGACGATCGTAGGCCTCAAAATTCCTCCACTTTTCGTATATTCATTATTTTGACACCACATATAGCTGAATAAGTATTCTTTTTTTTAATAAAAACTGCCTTAGCTATTATGACGCAATACGTTATTCATATTTTAGCCTCATACTCAGTACTAAGAAAAAGATTTCCATTGGATGTTCGTTGGGTATACAGTCTATTTTCTAAGATTTTCCGCTAATGTATCAAATCTTAATATTGTCATACTTCAGACACTTCAATAATATCAGAAGAAAGCATGCATAACGTGGCAAGGGCCGTGACGTCTAATACGCCTACTATGCGCTCTTTTCACAAGCAGTGAGCTTCTCGTGTGCCTCATTACTTGTAGAAAGTACCGACATCTTTTATGATTATTGGCTACCAATCATAGACCTATGCCTATCATCGGCTATTACCTCACTTAATTACACAGTAAAGACCTTCCACAAACATTCGTTATCAGTCAGTGCTTCACATTGATTCAGCCTGCCGCCTTCCATAAGTGCATATAGCCAAACTCCGAAGTCTGTACAACGCCTACCTGAAAACTCCAGGCGATAGGAAACACGACAAACACGTTTGACGAACATGGATCCAGTATCCTGCTGCTCTCAAGCCGAGCCCTACAAACCGGTAATCACAAGCCAAGAAGCAAACCAACAGTCCTTCATCAGATTGGCCCGAAATCCTGAACAAAATCAAGCATCATCTATTACACATCCTACGCTAGAAATACTATGGGACTCACAGTCAGCATTCGTGATCCAAGCCCTGTGAAGCAAGTGAACCACGGTCTGCTAGAATGGGAATGGTACTTTGTCAATCCCAGCGCTCCAGATGGAGGCTCCACATTCAAAGAGGTCACCAAGCAAGGCATAATTGACGCCGACTACAAGAAGTCAAATTCATACGCCATCTCCCCCCATTTCAAACTCGATGCCTAACACACACGGCGCAACTATGGGCTGATCGCCGTTCCTTTATCGGTACAAGAACTTCCGATGCCAAACGCACAGCAAGTTCTTCGAGCTCAACATGTACGTTCCCTCCACGCGCGCCGATCTCACATCCCCCACCTAGATCCATGAACTTCCAACTTGCTAACCCGACCTTTCTGACCAGGTACAAAAAAAAAGACCTAGCCAACACGCAAACTACCGCGCCAACTTCGCGCACCGAGGAAGAGATGTTGTGCGATGAGCCTAATGACGCCTTGCTGGCTCAATTACCCGTACCGCGTGATGTGCTTAGGGAATTTGCTGCGCTGCTGGGATATACAAGGGGATCGGACCGCAGGACAGGTAGGATGGGATGAGCGAGCGGCTTCCTTTGAATGCTTCTCGCTCAGCCCATGACTTGTAGGTCGATGTCTTTGCTTTGCGTCCGTTTACTGGATAATGTGTTTTGGTTGGCTTGTAGTGCTTGATTTCCAATGACGTATCTGGGTAGTCCGGTTATGGAAGTATGTTGGTGGATCTATTTTCGTGATTAGAAGTGTGGAACGACACGAAATGTCCTACCTGCTGGCAAGGTGATAATTTGTCTGACTTATAGAGACTGAACATGAGAAAATATAGACTGCACTCACGATTGAGTAACGGAATAGGAGGTGAAACGAAGACCAATTCCAGAGCACGAACTAGAAGTTTCTATTTGTTTTGCTGTACATAATCTTCAAGTACTTTGAGCAACACGCTTTATACAAGTGACTTTCAAGAGATGAATATCCGGAC